AAATACGAGTACAAGCTAGACATCCTGAAACAGAACAGGCAGATCGTTCTGGAAGGACTCCAGCAGGTTAGGGAGAAAAAAGTGAGGAAAAGCTTCTTTTTTTTTGTTTGAATAAAATCCAAATTTTGTAGTATCAAACATGTGAACAATTTCTCAAGGTCAGCAGTAAATGTTTCTGTACACCAATGTACGTGCTACAGGTAATTCGGATGACCCAACAAGATTCAGGCCAGGATCGAAAGCAACAAGACTCCTCCTCTTCAGAAGACACGCCCCCTGCTGTAAAAAAGGAGGAGGGGCAAGATACGCCGATAACATTGTGTGCAGAGCAGGCCACACCCACAGGTACCCTATTTGAATTTAACCTAATTTGAATGTTTTATATGTATTTAAAATGAGAACCTTTTGATTAAGGCCTGTTATTGCCAAGAATGACATTTGTGGAGAAATAAGTCAATGGGAACATTTTTGCCTCAAAACACACAACAGTCTGTGTGAATAGGTCTTTATAGTCATGTATAAATATAGTTTAAGCGTTATTCAATAATGTAGGGATTCAAAAAAGAATCTAAAACATGTCCCATGATACTTCAGAAACTCAGGAAGGAGCCGCTGCTTTACCAAGTCCCGCTGGAAAAGTCAGACCCATGGCTAAGCCTGCCACCTTGCCAACAGGGGGCGCTCCGCCACCAGCACCTCTACCTGTTCCCAACCCCATCGTCCAGCGTCTGCCAGCCTTCCTGGACAACCACAACTACGCCAAGTCCCCCATGCAGGTAAGATCGGTTACATTTCAGGATATCTGGAATAGTTAGTATATGTGCTTTCATTCCGTAAGCTTGTTGATTGGCAGGAAGAGGAGGATCTTGCTGCGGGTGTGGGTCGCTCACGCCTACCTGGCCCCCCAAAGCCCTCTTATTCTGATGACGAGGATGATGAGGATGACGAAGAGGAGGAGTGTAGCACTTCAGGTGCCACAAGCAGGTATAAAACTAAGAAAGTGTTGAATTTCCACATTAAATTCTAACATATTTAATGTGTTCTTGCAGTGGTAACAAACCTCCAGTACTCAAGAGGGCGATAGAGTTCCTTCAAATGTCTGTATTGAGAAACTGAAAGTGTTATTATTCAGCTAAATGTAAACATAGTGACAACTTAACAACCTTTACCTAACTTGCTTGGCAACTTTTTTTTTTACCATGACAGTAGTAAGTAGTAGAAAATTACAGTAGAAGAAGAAAAATTGCGCAAAAGCCCGCAATAGCGGCAATGACATATTTGCATTCATGTACTTACATAGAGTACTTTTTGGACCTTCATTGGTTGTCTGTGTGATCGGCAGGGCCCGAAGAAAGGTTGGTCTACGTACACGCACCATGGGCCGCAGTGGAGTGGGTGCGGTTGCGGCAATGGAGGGTCAGCTAGCACTCAGTGTTTTAGCTGAGAAACTCAAGAAGGAAGTCCAAAGGAAGGACTCCATGGCTACAACAGGTTCCACACCTCTGAATGTACGCACCGAGGGTCGCACAGGTGGGATCAGCATCACCTCGGCCTGCCAGCCGTCGCCCACGCCCAGTAACGAAAGCACGGATACGGCCTCGGAAATCGGAAGATGGCAACAACGGTTTCCACACCTCTGAATGTACGGACCGAGGGTCGCACAGGTGGAATCAGCATCACCTCGGCCTGTCAGCCATCGCCCACGCCCAGTAACGAAAGCACGGATACGGCCTCAGAAATCGGCAGCGCATTCAACTCACCATTGCGCTCTCCCGCACGATCGCAAGCAGCTACACGTCCCTCCAGCCCTGTGGTGCCCCACTTGAGTCGTGTTTTGTTTGGAGAAGAGGAGGGGCTGCTCAGGTTAGACGCCCGACACAATCGAGCCGTCCGGGACTTGGGGGTGCTAGTGAGCTCCACAATACTGCGACTGCAAGAAGATGGTGCCATGTACGCCTTGCCACCTACAGGTACTTGTTCACAAAACAGTGAGATTTTATCAACTGAAATTTCTCTCGCACAAGACTTTTTTTGCACACTGGTTTGGGTAACCTCAATCTCATTTGACAGAAATGTTGGAAGGGTTAAAGAAAGTAGGCGGTGTGGAAAAGACAGAAAAAGAAGAGACGACTGGTCAAGGAGGAGAAGAGGAGGTGAAGGAAGGACCATCGGTGGAGATGAAACAGGAGGACGTCAAAGAGTCAGTGGATGTCAAACCCGAAAAGGAGAACCTGCCGTCCTCCAATGCTGAAACCAGCACCAAACCTCCTGGAGAAAAATATACTCCAAAAGTAAGACACCAGCTATTTGTTTTCTTTCTGCATCACTCTGTTTCTCATTAGCAACGTTTGCTACGAGTTAATGATGCAACTTTCCATGAACTTGAGGGTTTCTCTCACACAGGAGTTGCTAGCCTTGCTGAAGTACTTGGAAGCAGACATTGCCAACTATGAAGTGTGTTTGAAAGAAGAAGTGGAGAAAAGGAAAAAGTATAAGGTAAGGTTTCCTGTGAACAAGAAAATGATTTCACAGGACTTTCCAGAATGATTTTCTGATGATTTTTGTCCTTTTTCAGATCGATGACCAAAGGAGGACTCATAACTACGATGAATTCATCTGCACCTTCATATCAATGCTGGCACAAGAAGGTAAAAAAATGTTCTTTCTTCCCTGGAGTGCGAAATAAGATGTTTTCGAGAATCTTCATATGTCACAAAAATGGCAGCATGAAAGTTCTGCTAAACGTCGCCTTTTGTGTTCCACGAAAGAAAGAAAGTCTTATGGACTGCAACAGCATGAAAGTAAATAAGGAAGCTATTCCTTTAGTCCAGTGGTTCCCAACCATGTTCGTGGACCCTTCCAACACTGCACATGATCTTCTTAATCAAACACACTTGATTCAGGTCATCAGCTCAGTAGACACTCGGGTGTCAGACAAAGGAGACATTCAAAATGTCCAGTGTTGGGAGGGCTTCAGGAACATGGTTGGGAACCTCTGCTTAAATCAAATGTCCTTTCTGTGTTTTGTAGGTATGTTGGCGAGTCTGGTGGAGCAGAACATCTCTGTGCGTCGCAGACAGGGCGTAAGCATTGGCCGGCTCCACAAACAACGCAAACCCGACCGGCGGAAACGTTCACGACCGTACAAAGCCAAGCGCCAATAAATGCTAAAAAATAACCGAATGGCAGCAAATCGACAACACAATCTTTCTGAAGCATTGTCCAGAGACATTTCTGAAGATGAACAACGCTACCAAACACCTCATTGACAGTGTTAGATATTGATTAAAATATTGTTTTGTCTAGCTTTGTTTCACATAATAAACCCATATAAAAGTACATCACCACTTCTAAACCAAATTGGTGATGCGCAGAAGATGTTTAGAGATACTGAACCATTTTTCATGTTGCCATATGGAATCATTACTTCATGTGCTGCATCAAGTTAATCATTAAACCAACAATCACTGGAGCGCCAAACTGGGAAAATGGCTGAGTATCTTGACTGAGTATCAGGACTGGTCTGATTCAGGCTCTAAATTACAAAGATTCCAAGGAATATTAATCTCCAGAAATCCTAAATATCTACTCAAGGTGCTACCAAAGATGACGGTGCTCCAGGTTCACTCAAACAGTGCTGGGTATATCTGTCGTTAACAAATGGACCAATCTGTATGGAATTCTAGAGATACGCTTTTCGAAGTTCACCGCCGTTTTGTTCATAAGTATAGTAGACAAAAAGGATCCAAGATTGGTACGGTCACTGTCATGTTTTAAGACTGTAAAATGTGTATTGGTTCATTTCAAACAAATCATTGCTGCAAGAGTTAAATAAGAAATGTGTTTGTTTAAAGTTGACTTGTTCTTCAGAATTTTCTGGAAGATTGTTTTTGTTGGTAAGGAATAGGCCAGTGGGTTTTGTCTCAAACATGTTCTGTTTGTTTGTACATATGTATTTGTGTATTATCTGATGTCCACACATGACTGTCAGGTCTAGACATTGAAATAAATGTTTTGAATTAATCTGGTGATCTTGAGTTCGTTGTGAGAAGCGTCTTCCTTGGAAAGGACTAGTCTTCACACGTGTAGTGAACATAACAGCGGAAAAAAGTAAAAACACCTTCCGCTCGTCACAACCCCATTGAAGGTGAAGAGTTCTTCTCGTGTCCGCGGGATTATTCACGACCATAGTCGAGTCCAAGGAAACGTTTCTGAACGTTTTAAACTTGCTTTTCTAGTAAGTCGATGTTTTTGAACTACGAATACAGGATGGATATTTGTTTGAAAATGTGTAGTAATTTGCTCATATATTTTGCTCGATATTCCCCTCATTTATGTTTTATGTGTTTCCAAATTTTGAGTGATTTGTCCTATTTTTCTAAAGTTTTTGTTGCTGCATAAACGCCAGCGAAAGCACGTGTTGTTTTCCACGTGGAGAAAGTTGTTTGTGCAAGTACACTTGTTGAAATTATGTTATGTTTCCCTATTGTTATTAATGATCAAATTGTTTATGGTGCTTAAACTGTAATATGACCAGTAATACTTCAAACAAGTAAAGATGTTAGATCCTTGAACGAAGTGTTCATTTCAGTCGAATCTTTTTAATGAATCAGTTGAACCGATTCACAAAAAATGGGGACATGTCATTTGGACATGTCAGACTCATGAATGAATATTAGTATTGAATTTTAGTGTTTAATGTAAATGCAAATGATATTCTTTGAAAGAACCGAGTCAGATTTTTTATGTGTTTACATGCAGTAGTTTTGTTTGTTTTTTTCATTAAAATGCTAATATATTGTGTGTGTGCAAGACTTTTCTTGTTTTTCTCATTAATAAATTACTGGAAATAAAATACTGAATGGCTGCTGAGTTGCTTATACAATACAACCAATAACTGACTAAACAGAAAAGTTTTAATATTGGCAAAATATTGGTCAAAACGTGTATTAGTCTGATTTAAATGTGGTTAAAGGGTGTTTCTAGATTGTCTCTGAAACATTTAACATGAACAGTGATGCTTTACTCCAAACTTCAAAACAAGTGATTCATTTTCTGGAATAAGATAAGGTGAGGATGTCATGGTCAATTGTACATGTTGATTACAGTTAAAATAGTGCATCATTCAGATTTGCCGTCAGTTAACATGAAAGAATAAAAGAGCAGTGACAAGGGGAAAAATAGCGTTAGCCAATCAGTTGTAATAGTTAATCGGTTGTTGTTTTTTATCAACTAGCTTGTCAAATGTGTTTAAAGCATTACTTCATGTTATTGCTGGGTGATATGACAATACATATCGTGGCGATGATATAAAGTGTGAATCGACGGACATTTTTCTAAATCGTTTACATAGATAGGCCTGTTGGGGAAAGCAAATATATC